TAGTACCATCAAAAATGAATGAAAGAGCTGAGCACAGGTGGCTCACACCGGTAATCCTAGCTACTCAAGAGGTGGAGTTATACGGATAGGGCTTAAAGCCAGGCCCAGAAAGAAAGTGTGTGAGATTTCATCCAAAAGGCAGACATTAAGCAAAAAATAAGCTAAGGGACAACAGCACTCAGGTCCTGAGTTCAGCATGGCAGAGGGGGAGGAGAAGAGAGAAAGGGAGAGAGAAGAGGGAGCGAGAAGAAAGAGAGGGAGAGGGAGGGGAAGAGGGAGAAGAAAGCAATTAATTACATTTTCATTATGTTTCTTCATATTCTAATTATCTATGGCAAAAAATTAATACCTTTAGGGTTCCTGGTTCTATCTATAAAAAACACTGGTGATCATCTTCAACCTAATAGCACACACACACACACACACACACACACACACACACACACACACACACACACACAATCATTTTAACATGCTGCACTTTAAAAAGAGAATTCAGAGGGAGAAAATCAGACAAACTTTTCAAGATTGTCAGGTATTATAGATTATAAAGACAGGATCATCAACAAATGATCCTGTCTTTATAATAAAACCATATGAAAGTGACAGTTGTGATAGATCTTTTTCTCATAATGTTTTTTCCTTCTAAGAGTAATACATTTTCATTGTAGGAAATTTGAATAACAAAACCCATAAAACCACTTGTAATCCCATATTACCCAGAGAGAATCACTATTAATATTCTAATATGCTCTCTCCATTGACAGATGAATAGATAGAGGACTTTTTTTGACTGCAGTTTTTAAAATGGTATCACACTAATATAAAGTTTTATATCTTACCTTTCTTTCGTTCTTTTTTTTTCACTTAACATTGACTTTAACTTGGTGGACAATTTTTTTTTAAATAGTTGAGAGATATCAGCCAGTTATGATGTCTGCTGATGGAAAAGAATTTAAAACCATCCGTTATAAGTGCATTTGAGATTGCTTTTTTCAAGTACACTTATCTTCAATCTTCCACTTTCACTTTAATCTTCTATTATTTTTCTTGCCACTTAGGTTGTCTTTTAAGTTATTCCCATAGCTCAGCTTCATAACTTGGTCTTTACTTAGCATAAGAACTGCTGTTGTCTGTAAACATTTGGATGTGTTAAATAAGGCTATCTCCAAACAACTTCCTAGAAGCACCTATTTGTCCACTCAGAAGAGCCTCCTGATCTCCATTTTATTTCTTACTTTTGGCCAAACCTCTTTTTCATAATAAACAATTGTAAGGAGGAGAAAACTGGGATGTGTTACTTGATTGGGCTTTTTGAAAGATTTTTTTTAATTATGTGTTCTGCAACATTTTTACAACAAGCATATTTTCTCCCTTTGGCAATACATTATTTCTCCAAAATAAAACATTTTTGGCTATAATCCATTGTCTTTGAATATAAATCAGCTTCCAAGATATAGATCTGGTTTGATGGCCCCAAGGTCCTTCCTAAGACTCTTTCTTGGACACAATCCCCTCAAGACACTAGCCACTGAGACAGTGGCTACACCCAGAGGTGTAGTCATCTAGGAGCCAAGTGTCATCTGCAGACTTGGGTCAGAGCTATCTGGTCTTGGGTCTTGGTGATTTATCTGTATCTAGGCTGTTAATGAGGCTTGGGACATCCTGAGTACTTGCCACTTCTGGATCTATTACCTCTAAGGTGAGTACAGCTTTAGAGAGTATGAGCACAAGAATATTACTCAGCAAAAAACAAGAAAAAAATCATTTACGTTCTAATTTATTTCTCTCCAACTCTGAGGACATGTTTCCATGAGGAAAGCCCAGTGCTTCCACAATTCTCACTTCACTGTGCTTTAGAAACCACTTGTAAGTATTTCTTTTTTCAAATTTATTTTGGCTCCCTCAGGTCTATGTGCATATGATCCCTCACCCTTTATAGGCTCAATTTTATGACTTAACCCTTCAGTATTCCTTTTTCATTATTTGTAAATGTTCCCTTCTTGCCTTTAATTTTTCCCAATGTATTTATGATTTTAAGGACCTGAGTACAGGTCCCATGCTAAGCACCTGGCATGCATTACAGCTTCAATCTCAGGTGCTACCCTGGAAAACTCATTGGCAAGGAATTTCCCCATGTATACCTATAACCTACAATAAAACTGATACATACTAGGAAATCACTAAATAGTTGATGAACGAATAAATAAAAAAACTGCATAAGTGTATTCACGTGTCACAAAAAAGTAAACCAAGCACAGAGGTTCACTTTCTGAAGTCCAACAGTACAAGAGAGGCCCAGACTTGAACCCAAAGCCCACGTGCTTATTCAGGACTTACTACTAGTAAGTTCAATATCTACACACATTCATGCAAGCAAAAATTAACCCATGTACGACAATAAATATTATGCAATGTCACAAATAAATATCATAAGCAATAACTTTCTAAGGAAAGATCCGCAAATGGTGGGCCTTTAATAATCAGAGAGGCAGATACCTATAAGATTTCTTGTTGCTAGCTATGCAAGTAATAATATAATTTCTCTTTAATCAATGTCTTCTACCAATTTTCTAACTAGTTAAGAAGGATTTCGGGGCTTTTCAAATATGAATGCTCCTTCCCTCTCCCTCTAAGTGGTTCTGGGTTTAAGCGTGTTTAGTCAATTCTTTCTAAAGTAAGAATAGCATTAAGGAAATAATCACTTAGGAATTCATTGTTAATTGACTATACACCTTATGGAGAGTTACTGCTAATATGGTATAAAGCTTACATATTTCTCAAATAACCCTGCCACTACTGGCCATTTGATTTGCCTGAAACACTACTATTACAAAACCATTCTTCAGGGTTTTGGTTACGTGTACCTTTTAACAACTCTGTAGTAAAATAATACAATAAACAGAGTGGTTCCTTGTTAAGTCTCTTCTAAAACCTCTATTTGCCCATACATTGGTGGAAGCCAAGTGACACTAAGCAGAAAGCAAGATAATTTGTGAGAGACACATACTATCTTTGAGGGTATAGGTTAAACAGTAAAAAAGGGAACAGAAATTACAAGTGGGCCAATACCAAAGATTTAATTCTGCAGGAAGAGAAGGAAGGAAAAGGGGAGGGAGAGAAGGAGAGAAGGGGGAGAGGGATTTGAAAACCACTTGAATTTGAACTACGATATTCACAGATCAGTCACTGAAAGATACAGTTTTTGCATCTGTAAAATGGAAGTGAGAAAAAATATGGCTTCCTCACTTTAATAGTAGATTCCATGCTCCATGAAAACAGTATAGTATGATACAATGTGTGTTTATTTTTTAACATGACATTACTTGCCTATAACGTGCCCACTTTCGCATTCTGTACTAACAACATTCCTGTTACAAAGCTATCAACAGCTTCCAAATGTAGCCCCACCAATTCTGTCTATCTTTTTTGGTTCGGATGGGTTTCTACTATTTTTAACCGAAGGAACCAATACACAATTTCCAGCCAGCTCTGTGTGCTTTCAGGCTTACTGGGTGCTCTCAGGACTAGAGTGTTGTACACCTCTGTATAAACAAGGAAACCTCTTTTAAGTTCTGTCTCAGGCTGCTGCCTTTGGTTGAGGTAGAAACTAAAATTGAAAACAGATAGATGTTTTACATTTAAATAGGTTTAACATAAATGTGCATTAAGCCATTTCATGGACGATTGCACAAATATCTTTTGCAAACTTGGTGCACGTGAATACATATACAGTAACCATTTGTGCCTTCTAGAGAAATAAGGCACAGATCCGAAATTTTAAACAGCTACTTGGAGTTCCTCTCACTGGAAAGAAAATGTAATGGCTTTAAGGGAATTGCTCTAATAATATCATGGCATCTGCAATGGCTGGCCAGAGCAGTGCAGAACACAGTATATGTTACTGCAACTCAACTCAACAAGAAATAAGCTTCCCCCTGGAGAATCTAAACTCCCTTGCCTCCCACAAAGAAAATTGAATTTTGGAGGTCACACCTTGAGCAGGTGACCAGAGGGAGAAGTTTTTTTTGACATGGGCTCTGCCATGGCAAGGCTATTCTTATAAAAGATCCGTTTCCACTTCCCCAACCCCCTCCCCAAATTAAAACAAGTCTTTGGAGTGCCAGAGGATAGCAAGTTGATTGTGACACTAAAGATGAGACCACGCCTGGCAAAAATCATGTCCAAACATCAAGTTTGGGGCCTCACCGTGAAAGGCAGGGTCTATACGTGGGGAAAGAAGGGGTAGCAAAAAGGGACAAGAAATGACGAGACTCTAGTGGGAAGAGAGAGAAAGAGAGAGACAGAGACAGAGAGACCAACGGATAGACGGACTTAGGTAGAAATTGATTGCTTAGTCAAATATGAATCAATCAACTCAACTGCTGTTCCCAGAGAGTTAAATAAAATTATCAAAAGAAAAACCATCACCCAGTCCGGCCTACGCGAATTCCCTCCTCCCAGGAGGCTGTACAGGTCCCACCCGGGGTCGTCGGGGTGGGTGGTCCAAGGCCCCAGCGTGATCTAGCAGCCCGGCGGCGCTGCCCTCACCGCACCGCGCCTCCAGCAGTGGCTCCGGGTGGCCCAGGGAGCCGGGCCACTGCCGCCGCCCCCCGGCAGGCAGCAACCTGTGGGGTGCTGCCACTCCTCGGCCAGCCCGCCAGGGAACTCTGTCGGGCTGGAGTTGCAGGTGGATGGATGCACGCCCGGCTGAGCGAAGGGAAGGGGTGGGATGACTCGCGGCGAAGATGCCTCCAGCCGGGAACTTGGCCACCGCTGACCTTTCCAGGCCACCCCGGGGCTCTCCGGCGGCGCCGCGCACACGCCCCTCGCTCCGGACTGCCCGGGCGGCGGCGCGCAGCGATCCCGGCTCCCTGCACCCCCGGCCGGGGTGCCCAGGCTGCGACCCGGGAGCCCCACTCCCGGGCTTGGCCCAGACCCCTTGCTGACCCGGCCGGCTGGCACCCGCCGCGTCTCCCCGGAAGCCCGCTTTTACTCACCCCGGCTGCGCGCGGATTCCGGCCGCCAGAGGCAGCCCGCTGCCCCATCCCACAAACACTGCGGCGCCCCCAGAGTGTGCAATGCAGAGCCCCGCCAGCGCGCGGCCCGAGCCCGAGAGCGCAGGGAGGGAGCGAGGGAGGGAGGGAGGGAGGAAGAGAGGAGAGGGAGGGAGGGAGCTTGGCCAGGAGGGGCAGGGGGGTGCCGGGGACCGCACGCGCGCCACTCCCACTCGCGCTCGGCACTTGCCACCGCCCCTAACTGCGGCCGGCCAGCCGGGCCTCGCGGCTCGCGGGACCAATCAGCGAGCGCAGGAGGAGCCGAGCCCTCCACGGGACGCGCTCATTGGCCCGGCGCGCGCGACCCAACTCCTGGAGAGTTGGCCCAGAGCTCAGACTCTGCGAACTCGGGACTGCCACGCACCGGTGGGGCTACCCTGGCGCCGGGCTCCGAGCCCCCAGAGTGAGCGGAAAGAGGGGTGGGGGATGCGATTTGGGACCTCCTCGGGGAAGCTGCTCCCAGAGCGCATCCAGAGCTAACAGTGTTTGGTCAGGTGGCAGATTCCTTCCTGTGGATCACCACCCCACCCGTCCTGGACCAAATCTCTCTCCCTACTCCGCTCTTGGATGAAACTTTTGCCCCTCAACTGAAGAGCAATTCCAGCTCCAAACCCAAGGCTGGTAGAAGCCACTAGACTTTTATAATAAAAGGCCCAAACTTCTGGATAGACAATGGAGGAGGGAGTTTACACGTGGGAATTTGGTTTCAGAATTTGGTGGCAAACACCCAGAGGCGTGCTTCTCGACCTTCTGTCAAACCCTTTACTTAAGCAATGATCTCCTTCCTCCTTCCTTCCCACTTCTCCTGTCCACCCAACCCTCTGTGGAAAATTTTTCTCTTCCTTGTACATTATGTCTAAAAGCGCCTGAACATTTCAGTTTTGCTTCTCAAGAAGTGGAACCCATTCCTATTCCTGGCCATCGGAAATCGTACTAGGAGCTGATGGGGAGCTGGGATGACCAAGGAAAGTCCCAGAGAATGTCCGGAGGGAAAGAGGATTCCATGGGCAGGCTCCAGAACTGGGAACTGGAGACCAACCACCTCGATAATGTCTGGATGACTGGTACCTTCCCTGTAGGAGTATCTCTTCCAGGCAGGGTGACCTGACACCACGGCTACATTGATCCACTTTGAATTTCTTCTTCCTTCTCCTTGGAATTTCTATTCCTAGAACCTTTATCAAAACTTGTCCAAATCTCTCTGTTCCTCTCTTCCCCAGAATCTACTCTCTCTCAACATAAAAATACTCTTACCTGCCGCCCCCTCTCCCCACACACACCGCACACACATCCTCTTCTTTCCTAGTCTCTGTTTGGAAAAGTCTAGCATTGGATACGCTTTATAAACATCTCTTTGATTTCAGACGTTTTCCCTCCAGGATTATGTGCTCAAATTCTCACAAGCTCAAGCAAAAATAATAAGCTCTCCTTTAGGACCTATGACAAAGAGATCTCCACTATGCCTGTCTTCCTGTAGGACTTAAGGAATTTCATAGGAACTGGTCAAATGGAACCTGCCTGTATCCCCTAGTATCTGGGCGGGTTACCTGTGCAGGTTAGCATCTGTTACTAATGAGGCATGTGGAGGGGTGTCATTGCTGCTGTTCATTTTGTTTTCTTTAACAGTGGGGAAAGTCTATCTTGGGCAGTTCCTGACCATGAATCCGGTTTATTTGATTTAAGAGAGAGGAAGAAAAGAAAAGATGGGGGGTGAGGGGAGGAGAGGAAGGAGAAGGAAGGAAGGAAAGAAGGAAGGAGGGAGGGAGGGATTGAATCAAGAAGGCAGGAGGGAGGGAAGGAAGGAAGGAAGGAAAGAAGGAAGGAAGGAAGGAAGGAAGGAAAGGAGGGAGGGAGGGAGGGAGGGACGGAGGGTTTGGGACATTAGTAGAGTGCTTGCCTAGCATACTAGAGGTCTTAGTTTCTAATACCTAGTTTAATAATACAAACAATAATAATACTTCAATAAATCATTTAGCTTATAGTTTTGGTAAAACTTAGTAAGTTCAGCATAAAGGTGAGCTATTAAAGCAATTCATGAGACCAGGCATCCTGGTACGATGGAATCCTTAGGTTTGCTTTTCAAAATTCCATTTCAGGGTGATAGGAGCATAGCCTGTGCTATCTCTACATTTTGGGGACAATGGATAATTTTACTTTTCTCTTTATATTTTATTGTATTATCTAAAGAGTATGTAATATCAGGGGGAAATTTATCAACTACCATTAAACATACTCCGCAGACATTAGAACAGCTAAAATGGTGAATCCTTCTTCCACTTCAGCCATCACATCTCGTCTCCAAGTGTCATAATTCTGCTCTCTACAGTGGCCTCTGCCTCTCTTCCACATCTGCATTGCCACTGGCAGACCCTCATCTTGCCTTATCATCAGTTTAGCTACAGCCTTTAACCATTCTCTCCAGTGGGCCACCACACTACCATCTCTATCTAAGTCCTCTTGTTCCCCAAGTGATGAAGTTCAAACCAGTAGCCTTTAATTCACAGTCTGAGCCCAGTTTTTCATGTTGACCTCATTCTACCCTCACATTCTCCTAAGCGTCCTGTTCCACAGGACACCTTTTGTCCACTGACCCTCATATGTCATGTGTAAGACCTCACACTGCTGGAAATGTGCCCTTCCCTGCCCTTAACAGCAAGTTCTTACTTCTGTTTTAGAACTCACTTTAAATGCCAGCAAAACTGCCAGCGGCAGAATTAGCTACTCCTTCTCTTTGTACTTCAATAGCAGATATTTTATTTATTCAATGATTATTAATCCAGCTGCTTTGCGCCAGCTACAATGATAAAGACATACATTGTATTTATTCTCCTGGAACACACCATGAGAGAGACAGGCTTTAAATTGTACAAATATGTAGTTCCCAACTTAGGCAGTTGTAATGAAACCACTATGAGTACAAAGAGAAGCAGGGTTTACCTTGAACACAGGTCAAGCATAGTTCCTACTGAATTGTGCTGTAATCTGTTATTTATTAAAGACTCTGTCATTCATCATATTCATATGCATACCTTCATGCACACCAGAGTGCCCGGTCATAATGGTTGCTGAATAAAATTTTCAAATAAATGAATATTGGAAAACCCTGTGAATTGTTTGTGTGTGTTAATATGCTTTATACAATACTCAAAAGACATCAGTTGTGTGTTGTAAAATTCTTATCACTACATCCTTCTCTAGTGATTCTCAATTCTAATGTGGCTCTTTCTGCATACATTACTTAATATCTTCCTTGATTTCCCATTTAGGAGATATGGCTTTTGTATTATTTGTAAGTAATCTATTGTTTGTAGAAGGTAATTTTTTTCTTTTTACAAATTTTACTTTCACCATGAAAATCCAAGACCCATAATTTTATGATACAAAGTTGAAAACCATAACTCACAATAAAAATATATAAATTGGATGTTGTCACCATTAACCTCTTTTCTTGTAAATAACAATGTGAAGAGAATGAAAAGATAGGTATAAATTGAGAGATAGTATTTGCAAATATACAGGGATTCTGAAAACTCAACAATACCAAAACAAATCCATTTAATAAGCAAAATATTTGAACACATACTTTGGCACATAAAATGATATTCAATACCATTACTTATTAACTGGAATACTAATCAAAATCACAATGAGGTATTACCAAATGTGTTAAAATAGCTTAGAAGAGAGGGAAAGAAGAGAGGAGGAAAAAGAAGAAAGAGAGAAAAGAAGAAAGAAGGAAAGGAAGGAAGGAAGGAAAGAAGGAAGGAAGGAAAGAAGGAAGAGAGGGGGAGGGAAGGAGAAAGGAAGGGAAGGAAGAAGGAAAGAAAGAGAAAATAAGAAAGAAGGAAAAGGAAGAAGAAAGGAAGAGAGATCAAAAGATAGAGAAAGTAACAAAGGAAGAAAGAAAGAAAGAGGAAAATGAAGGAAGGAAGGAAGGAAGGAAAGAGAAAGAAAATAAGAAAGAAGAAAGAAAGAGAGAAATAAAAGTGACAATACCCAGTGCTGGTGAAGATGCAGAACAGCTAAAAATTTTAAATATTGCTGATAGGAATGCAAAATGGTCTTGCCATGTACTTCTACATATTTACCTAAGTGAAAAATGGTTTATGCTCACAAATAAACCTGTAAACAATTTTTGTAGCAATTCTATCACCCAAATATGAAAACAACCCAAAAGTTCCTCAAAGGAGAAATAATCAAACTGTAGTGTACCCATAAGATGGAAACTACTACTCTGTAAGAAAGAGAAGACTGCAAGGTATCAACAGCTCACACTTGTAATCCTAGCTACTCAGGAGGCTAAGATCTGAGGACCAAGGTTCAAAGCCAGCCTGGGCAGGAAAGTCCATAAGATTCTTTATCTCCTATTAATCACCCCCCCCCCCAAAAAAAAGAAGTAAAGCTGTGGCTCAAGTGGTAGAGAACCAGCCTTGAGCAAAAGAAACTCAGGGCAGCACCCAGGCCCTGAATTTAAATCCCAGAACCAGGAAATAAAAAACGAAAAAGCAAAGAGGAGACTATTGATACAAACAACATTTCATATCTCAAATGATTATGCCAAGCGAAAGGAAACACACTTGAAAGGCCAAATGCATATATTGGTGAAGAATGGTAGATGGCAAAAATAAAGAACGTGAGGATTATCCTAATAACGGAGGTAGTCTTGGAGATCAGATCATCTGTATTTAAAAGAAGCAATCACGTAAACTATTGTGATGTGGGGTTTTCTCTACACAAAACTGAAGTTTATTTTACCTAACACATGAATTTGTGAGTTAATTAATATTCTACTCAGTGTATGCATAGCTTATTCACTGAAGTATATCACCTGTGCAAGTATCCAGAGTGGATACTTAATAAATATTAGTTAAATGCATAAACACATAAGAATGAAGAGAAAGGCTCTTACAGGAGTGGAATAGAATTTTATGTTCAATCCGTGTGTTCCTCTTGAAAATAGCTACATTAGCCCACTCCATTTTTTACTGCAAGGATATTCTTCCATCTCAAAATATATTATATATTCCTCTGTCCCTTACTGTTCATTAAAATATTGCCT